CGGGGACTGGGGGAACCGCCCGGGGCGGTTAGCATTGCCCGGCCCTTTAAGCAAAGAGAGTACGAACCCTTCTAGGCAGAGCCTAGGTAGGGAATTAGGAGCTGCACGAAATACACGCTGCAGGCAAGATAGATATTCTCCTAAGGGGGTACGATCGGGGGAACGAAGAAGGCGGGTACCGAGGGTTGATTTGGGATGTATACGTGTTGAATGGCACGCGAGCAGATAAGAGCAAACAGTGTTAAACTGATTGTTGTTGCTGTTGCTGTTGCGTCTGTTGTTGTTGCTGTTGGTGGTGTTGCTGTTGTTATTTTTGTTGTTTAACAATCAATATTGAACTTATAGCCGATCCTCCCCAACTGGTGCACATTGTATGTTTTCAATTGAAGTGCCCCCCATCAGGGCTCGCACCCAGATTGTTTATCAAACAAATCTGCATGCTCAAACTATGCCCCTGCCCCCGCCGGCTACAAAAACAACGGCTCCCGCCTGATACTTCCTCACAGTTTACTCCAGAATCGCGCTCTCGCGCGGAACTTTCTCATAAAATATGTAGGAGTCGCGCTCTCGCGTGGGACGTCCTCACAATTTATTCAAACACCGCTCTTTCGACACTCAGGAATCATCCTCTCGCTCTGGCTTCTCGAAGGATTTACTAGGGAATCGCACTATCGCCAGAACATTCCTCACGATTCATGCAAGACTCACGCGTCAACAATCCGCCTGCTCGACCTGGCCGCCTTGGCGTGGCCCGCCTTTCCGACACGCCCGCTAGGGTCTGCCAGTCCGATCTGCCCGCTTGGTTCTACTACGTCGTTTCTGTTCTTAGCCCCCCATCCTGCTAATCTCGCTCGTGCTCCATCCTTCTCCCTCCCCCCTTCCATTCGTCCTGTCTTCACCTGTTTCAGGGGCTGCGCTGAATACACGTGGCAGGTCAGGAAGATACACCACCGTGAAAGGGGTACGATCGGGGAAACGAAGTGGGCGGGTACCGAGGGTTTGGGATATACGTGTTGAATGGCACGCGAACAGAATAGAACGAACAAAATTAAAATGATCTTTGCTGTTGTCGTCGTCCCATCCGCGACCCACCCGCGACCCACCTGGCGACCCACCAGCGACCCGCCCGCGACCCGCCCGCGACCCACCCGCGGTTCACCCCGCGCCCGCCCCCTCGCTCTTATCCGCAACCGCGGTGTGCTATATATATATATATATATATATATATATGTATACATATACATAGATAGATAGACATATGTATAAACATATATATATATATATAGAAATATAGATATATAGATAGATAGATCGATAGATATATAGTTATATATAGATATATATTTATATATATAGATAGCTATATATAGGTATATAGCTATATATATATATATATATATATATATCTAGATGTATATATGTGTACATATATATATATAAACATATATATAAATATATATGTATATATATATAGATATACATACATACATATATATATAGTTGTGCGTATATTTATACAGACGTACACGAATACATGCGTACATGCATACATGCATATATCCAGACATGCAAGCATGCATGCATACATACTTGTATGCATACGCACAAACATGCAACTATACATACATATATACATGCATACATACATACACCCATCCATTCATCCACCCATACATACATACATACATGCATACATGCGTACGTACAAACATGCATGCAGATATACACATACCTAACAATGCGTCTGCAGAGATGTGTATATAGACATACGAGTATACACATCTATACATATCCGTCAGCGTGCCCTTGATGCAAGAGATGAAGTGTCCTCAGGCCCTTTGCCTAGTCCCTGGAGCATCAGCCCTGAATCCTGATGATTCTTTAACGGGCCCGGACGGGGGACGCGCCGCGTGGCCCCTAGGGCGCGTCGGGTGGCCCCTTGGCTCTGGGAAGTGTTCCTGCATGATTTGTTCGGGCCCAAGAGGGCCCCAAGACGAGCCAAGAGGGCCCCGAATCGCCGCGCGATCGATCCAAGACGCCAAAGATGGCCCCAACACGGCTCAAGAAGCCTTGGAGGCGCCCCGAGAGAGCCCCTAGAGCCTTCCCAAAGCGGCGCCGAGAGACCAACATCAGGTATAGATAGTCTTCAGATTTTTGAATTGTTGTTTGGCCTTCGACGTTTCGAGCTTCCGACGCTCCCAGACGGCGCCAGAAGTCTCCAAGGCCGCCTCAAGACGGCTCAGGAGGCCCCCAAGAGGGCCCCCAGACAACCCAAGAGGGCTCCAAGACGACCCCAGAGGCGCCCAGAACGGCCCAAACCGGCCAACAAACAACTCGAACACGGGTGCAACAGGGGGAACACGGACGGAAACTCCGAGTCTTCCGCCCCCCAGGAGGTCCTGAGGAGGCGCCAGGAGGCCCCAGCTCCCAAGACGCCCCCAGCGGCTCCAAAACGGCTTCGAGGAGGCCTCCAAACGGCCCCAAGAGGTCCCCCGAGAGGCCTCCACAACGTCCCAACGAACATCCTGGAGGCCTATGACACACAACCCAAACACGGTGGCGGGATAGGCCGAAGGCCATTCGATAGATGCGTTTATATGTATATATACGCATCTCACAAGCATCAAGCACTGTCTTCTCCTCCTCGAGCTCCTCCTCCTCCTCCTCCTCCTCGTCCTCCTGCTCTGCACCTACCCCGTGCCGCTTCTTCCCACGTTCCTTCTCCTCCTCCTCCCCCTCTTGGCGAAGTTGGTGCTGACGGGGGCCCGCCAGATCGCGGCGCTGGAGTGCGCAACTTATCAAAGCTACGTGGTGCCAGAAGAGGCTGTGGACTCGGTCGGGGCCATTCTCAAGCAGGCGGGCGAAGACTACAACTCGGTCTCAAGCGAGCTGCGAAAAAAAACAACAAAACGGAGAGCAGGTGGACTTCAAGGATCGCGGGCCCCCGTACATCACGATCTTCGTGACTCTCATCAGCCACATCATGGAGATGACGAAGGAGGGCGCAGCAGAGGCGGACTCCAAGATCTTCTCGGCGGTGAAGAACTACTGGCTGGCCCACGTGAAAGACAGCACTCCCATGAAGATGGGGGAACACGTCCTTCACTTTCGGTACAAGAAGGCCAGGAAGGACGCGGTGAAGGCCGAGGGCATCTTGCACACCGCGCTGGCTCTGAACAACCAGGTGCTCGGCGACATGTGGACGGCCGTGCTGCAGTGGCTCATGACGAAGCGGAACGCGACGCGCATCACAGGCCCCGCTCCACGGGGGCCATTGGAGAGAGAGGTCAGCAAGCTCGTGGGCGAAATGCAGAAGTAGCAGATTGGAGGACTGGAAGCAGTAGGCTAGCTGAGCTCGTGCGCAGTGGAGTGCTGCCTGCTAGTGTGATGCAGCCCAATCATCTTCAATCTTACGCTTCTCCCTCTCTGCCTAGTGTCCCTATTGTCCATCTTGCTCCTGCTCGCCCGAAGGGTAGGGGGAAACAGAGCAGACAGAGTTCTGCTCCGCCTGCTGACGAGAGAGGCAGAGGTGGAGGATTTGCCCGCGGCACGGCTCGCTGGCGAGGACAGGGTAATGGCCCTGCTGCTGATAGTGGGACGGGGGGTGGGGAGGCTTCGGGTGGTGGATAGTAAACGCTTGCTCCAAATGTCCGAGCGGAGGCTTGGCCAAAATATCCCGCCAGGCGCTCGCTCCTGGTTCTGGTAGCTTTTATGTGCCATCACCTCCACCGGCTCAGCCGCAACCACTGCTGAGGATCGGAGGCTGCATCGTGAGCGGCCCTTGAGGGGCAGCTTGGCCAAAATATCCCGCCAGGCGCTCGCTCAAACCATCCTGGTTCTAGTAGCTTTTATGTGCCATCACCTCTACCGGCCCAGCCGCAACCAATGCTGAGGATCGGAGGCTGCATCGTGAGCGCTGGTCCCCAGAGGGTACCCGCCAGGGCTGCGCGCCTAAACGGCGGATCGCCCTTGAGGGGCAGCGCGAGCGCCCGCTCGAGGGGCCACTCGGGCTCAGGAGCGGTTCCATATCGAGACTGATTGTCGCGAAGACGACGCTCAGAAGTCTTCTAGTAGCACGGCTGGTGTTATGGAGTAGACTTCCAGGAGCTGCCTTGCCTTGCCTCTTTGTCCGCCCTTCCTCTCTCCCACAATGTCCTCCTCTCTTCATGTTTCCCCTCTGCTCTTCTCCCCATCTCCTCTCCAGCTCTTCCTCCGCGAACTCTTTCTCCTCCTGTCCTCCTCCTCCTCCTCCTCCTCCTCCTCCCTCTACCCCCTATCAACTCCTCTTTCTCCTCCTCCTCATCATGATCCCGTCTTTATCCTCGCTCTCCGCCCCTATCCCTCCGTCTCATCACACTCCGCCTCATCCTCCTTAGCAGATTTCATTATCATGTCAATCCCCTTCCCTCCTTCATCATCCTCGTGTCCTCGTCATCTCGCCCCTCCTCTCCTCATCAACCTCATGATGGTAGCGTTCAGCATCATATTCACCATCATCGCAATCTCCATGGTCACCATATCAGTCATCACCAACAGCGTCATTTCCAAAACGACTGTCATCATCGTCATTGAAATCACCAGTATCCCTCTCTCCTCCTCCTCACGCGTTCCTCCGCCTCGCCTCCATCACCCCCCTTCCCCCTCTCCTCCTCCCTTTCTCTCCCTCATCTCGCATCCTCCTCCTCCTCCTCGTCCTGCTCCGCCTCCTCCTCCTCCTCCTGCTAATTCATCCTTGTTCTTCTCCCCGCGTCCCCCTCCTCTCCTCCATCCTCCTTCCTGTACCCCCACCCCCAGACATACTGGTCGGCCCCCTCCTCCTCGCTCAGCAAGCGGCCACCTATGCCTCCGCTCGGGCGTCCAAAGACTGGCTGCTTCCCCTCCCGCGCGCTCGCCCTCCCGCCGGCCCGCTGGCCGCAACCGCCTGCGCCGCAGCCGAACCGCCCGACCCGCCGACGCCGCTGCCCAGGGCGGCTGAGTGCCCGCGTGCCCGGCGGCGGCGCCTGCGGCGCTTCCTCGATGCCGCGCGAGGCGGTCCTGGCGGCGCCGGCCCGGCCGGGAAGGGGGCTCCTCCTCCTCCTCCTCCTCCTCCTCCTCCTCCTCCTCCTCCTCCTCCTCCTCCCAGCGCGACTCGAGGTTCTCAGGAGCTTCTGCGGCTCGCTTTCCCTCGAAAGTGCTGGATCTACACGGGGGTCGATCTCGTCGACCCCCGAGCCCAAGCCCCCTGGCGTCGTGAGAAACAACAGTTGCGATCGTTGTTTGGTCTCTCCGCGCTTCTCGGCCTCGGCGGGCTCCTCGCTAAGGCCGTCCGAAGGCAATCCAGGGAGGAGAACTCGCCATGGGGAGGGGGTCCATGGCTCTCGGGCCCAGGCTGTGAGCAACAGTGTGAGCGGTCCGGGGGGAGGGGGGGGAGGAAGAGGGCCCAACTTTTTAACGTCTTTTTGGCCTGTAAGACTTACCCTTCCTCCTCCAGAGCTCCCATTTCAGACCCTGGACCGACATCTCGATTCCACTGGCGACGGCGAAGGAGGCCAGCTTGCCCATGGTGGGCGGGGAGTCGGGAGGTGAGGGCGACGGGGGAGGGCGGACGGATGAGCCGGAGGAGGGGGGACGGCGTCTGGGGGAGTGGTGGAGGCTGAGGAGGATGGGAACGAGAAGCAGGAGGAGATGTTCGGTGCGATGCCCCTGGAGAGGACGTGAGCGGAAGGAGGAGCATCACAGTGTGAATACGTCTGGGTTGATACATACCTGTGTATACTATGCGCATGTATGTGTTTCAACATACACATAGACATCAAGGTGCATAGATGCATACATAGACGCAGATATGTAGGAGATGCCAACGTACAGACGCACAAAATTTCACATGGAAGGAGAAGGCATAATCCGAACTGACCTCACAGGCCATCCTGTTCCAGACTGGCTCCCGGGAGCCAAGAGACCCCAAGAGGCCTCCACCAGGCCATAAGACTCCCCTGGGAGGCCCTCCCCCCGAAAGGCATCCAGGATGCTTCCACCAAGAACGCTCGAGGGACATCTGACATGCCTCTGCTCCACAACCCATGCACGGTGGCAAGTTGGGCCACAGTCCACGGTATACGCGCACCATAGCATTGCAATTTATCATCAACAGGCTCGTACGGTTACGCATACAAGCGCATACATGAATACACATGTGTGTACCTATATGCGCGTTTGTATGCACATCGATGAATGTTCGAGCCAACGTGGACCCTAACCTGTGATTGTTGTGCATTATTTGCGGTGCAGTCTACTTAGATGGCGCAATCACTGTGGCGCAATCTAGGTGGAGCCACCCATTTGGCGCAATCTATTTTGTGCAACGCAAGGCAAGACAATGAAACGCAATGAAAAGCAGTGCAACGCAATGCCAGGACGTGCAGCGCGATGCAACGCACTGCGAAGCAACGCAAAGGAACTCAATGCACAGCAATGCGAAGCAACGCAACGCACAGCATTGCAACGCAATGTAACACATGCGAAGCCATTCAACACATTGCAACACACTGCAACCCAACGCAATGCCAAACAAAGCTGCAGCGCACTGCACAGCAACGCAACGCAGTGCAACGCCATGCAAAGCGATGCAGCCCACTGCAAGACGCGGCAGAACACTGCCACGCAATTCAGCGCAAACCAGTGCAGCGCAATGCAAAGGAACGCAATGCGCTCCCAGTGCCATGCAGCGCAGTGCGACTGCAGCGCCATGCGACTGCAACGCCAGCGGGCGGGAGGTGCAAGGGGGGGCGGCGGCGACGGGCGGGAGCGGGGCCGCCGGGGCTGTCGGCGGGTCGTGCCTTGAGGGGGCATGGTCAGGCGACGGACGGGAGCGGGGCCGCCGCGGCCGCCAACGGGCCCAGTTCCTTAGAAACGAGATAAGGCCCCCTAAGTGTATGCACTGTTTGGAGAATGCACCTATCTGTAGGTCGATCTGTGTATTCCTCTTTCTATATTTTTACAAGCCCGGGCGGCCGCAAAACCCCGCACCCCCCCCCCCCCCCCAAACCGCACTCCTGGGATCCTGGGGCTTTGGGACCCTCCGGACGCCCATTGAAGCGGTCCCGAGTGCCTCAAGAGCGCTCCAAGACAGGCACAAAGCGCTCCAAGACGCCAAAGATAGCCCCAAGACAGCCTCAGGAGCCCCAGAGACCCCCAAGACAGCACAAGAGCGCTCCAAGAGTGACCGGCGTGACCTCAAGATGGCCCAAAAAGCCTCCAGGACGGCCCCAAAGAGGCCTCCAAGGGCACCCCCAAGAAGGCCCCAAGAGGCACAAATATTTGATTTTCTGTTGGTTTTTGCTGAATTTGGGGGTTCTCCTTTTTTCGGCTTCCGACACTCCAAGACAGCGGTCTTCTGGGCGTCCGAAGCCGCCTGGGAGGCTCCAACATCGCCCCACAACCATCCGAAGGGGCTTCCAGGCAGTCCAAGAGAGCCCCAAAACGGCACAACACGGGTCCAAGATGGCCCTCAGAGAGCCCCATGGCGGCCCAAGATGGCCCCAAGACACCCTCCGAAGCATTCCAAATCGTGACCCGGTCGTTCAGGGAGACCGTGGTTGGAGGCAGGGTGGCCCGAGGAAGTCCCCAGAGGCCCCCAGAATACGCCCAGGAGGCCTCCAGAAGGCCTCAAGAAAGCTTGAAACAATTTTTGTGAGGCCCCCAGAGGCTCTCCCAAAAGGAGCCTCCGCAAAAAAAAGCTGAGGAGGATGGGGAGAATGCGCAGGGTACGGCGAAAGTAAGGAAAAATAAGCATGGAGGAAGGATAACGAATAACATTATCATAGCCGCGATGCCGGAAAAGGCAACAAGGAGTTATCTCTAAATTGTCGGCTTGACCTTCCTGCTACTCCGCCTGTGTACCAAATTTCAAGGACCAAGGTGCATGGCGCGAAGCGCCACTGCAGTCTTGTATATATATATATATATATACATAGGTCGATATGTATATATATATGTATATATATATGTATAAATGTATAGGTCGATATGTATATTTAGATTTATGTGTGTATATATATATATACATATGTGTGTGTAGGTCGATCTGTATCTAATATATATATATATAGGTAGGTCGATCTGTATATACATAGATATAGAGATATATGGGTATTTGCAACCATGCTCACACATGTGAAATGTGTGCGCGCGGCTTATACCTTTATCAGATACCCGGATGTATATAGATGCATGCGTGTGTACACACGTACATACCTCCTAGATGCCTCCTCCCCCATTTCCTCCTCGTCCACCTCCCCGTCCACCTCCCCCTTTCCTCCTCGTCCTCCTCCTCAGCCTCCTCCTCGTCCTCCTCCCCGTCCTTTCCTCCTCGCCCTCCTCTCCTCCTCCTCCTCCTCGGCCTCCTCCTCCTCCCCCCTCCCTCCTTCCCTCCTCCTCCTCCTCCTCGTCCACCTCCACCCCATCCCAGGCAATGTGGACGCCCTCGCCGCCGCGCCAGTGGAAGAGCGGGGCGTCGGTCCAGGGTCTGCGGCAGGAGCTGCGGAGGAGGAAAGGGGAACCCCTCCCCCCCCTTGAACTGCCCGTCCGGGCTCTGAGTCCATGCGAGCGGCGACTGCCTGACTTGGCGATCGGGAGGGAGAAAGAGAGAGAGAGAGAGAGCGAGAGAGAGGGCAAACCAAAACGATTGCGGTGGGGCGGAAGACGAGGAGGAGGGACGTGGAAAGAGGATATGGGCCGGTAGTTGTATACATACACACACACACATCTGTGTGTGTCTGTGTGACATGGCAATACCACAGAGAAAGAGACACATAGAAGACAGAGAAACAGGGGGGATAAGGGATAATGGTGGAGGGGGGAAGAGGAGAGAGAAACACACGATGCATAAGGAGAGAAAATCACGATACATAAGAGAGAGAGAGAGAGAGAATAAGGAGGAACGGAGGTTGGCGAGGGAGAGGGAGGGAGAGAAAGGATTGCTTTTGAGCACGGCCGCTGTGTTGCATGCTTGAAGCACACTGGTAGCCGCACAGGCCCCAGAAGAGCAATGAACATGGAGACCGTGACGAACAGCTCCGCGGTGAAATCGGCCATAGCCCAAATAAACAAAGCGACGTCCGAGACTCCACGAATAAACAGTACGCCTGCCGAAAACAGTGCTGGAGAAATTGCAAGAGCAACGCCAACAGCTGGAGAAATTGCAAGAGCAACGCCAACAACGATGGCACTGGAATAATGCACAACCCCGTGAAATGGAGCACGGCTTGATTTTCGCGACAACCACACGCAATTATAAGCGAGAGCCCAGAACGAAGAAGCCATAACGCCAAAGACGCACTGCAACGTCATAGCAGAATCACACAACCCAGAACGCCCAAACCGACGATGAGCCAACATCTGTCAGGACACCCCCCTGCAGGAGACGCGCCCGTGCGGAAGATTGCTCCGCCGAACCCCGACGAACGTGAAGAAAGCAGCTGGCCGTCACCTGGATCGGGGGGCAGATAGACGGGAACCCAAAGACCAGCCTTAAGTCGGGCGTGTCCCCCTACAGGGGGATTTTCGACGAAAAAAAAGAAAGACACTCCAACAATATCCCAACATGGCATAACAATACTAACACAAATCGTCCCCATACTATTTTTTAACCATTCTTGAACTTTCCTCCTGTAGAGGGGCAAGCCCGACTTAAGACCAGCCCCGCGATCCTGACCATCCTCATCCTGCTCGAGGACACGACCCCGATCACTGGGACTCCGCGCCCGCAGCCGCGGACCCCCACGTCCGAGAACGGCCACCCCACCTCGGCGCCGGGCCGCGAGACGGGCTCGGCGCCGGAGCGCGAGGCCGGCGAGGCGCCGCGGGGCGGAGCGTCGCGCACCGCCGCGGGGCTCCGCGGCGGACGAGCAGGCCAACGGCGTCGGAGAAAGGACCCGGGCCCGCCGTGGCCGCCGGCAGCAGCCCTGCCCGCCGCGAGCCGCGAGGCAGGGCGCAGGCCCGCCGGGAGGCCGTCCCCGAAGGCTCCCGCCGAGGGCTCCACGGGCGGCAGCCACACA